ATATAATTTCAACAAATTATTTTAAACTGTTAAGTTGAGAGGTGATAAAATAACTCCACTTTGTCTTTCTGAACATATGCTTTAATTTCTACTCCTGAAAGTCCTTCTTAATCGTATCCAGCCATGCAACAGTAATATCATCTTGCTCAGGCTTTCCTTGCCATGTTAGTTAAACCCATTGACACTAAAATTGCTTCTCTGGGTTAGATTTTAGGTCACGTATGATGATAAATGTTTTAATATTTCTTTATTATGTTTTTCCCCACCGTTACCCATTTTCCTCCAAGGAGGTCATCATTCCCCCTCCCTGTTTTATTTATACAGTAATTTTGTGGAATAGATTTAGTCAAGAGCTCAGGGTCACCTGGTGAATTTTGTGGTGTTAAAATATGGCTCTTCCTCAACCTCCACATTATACCGATTCTCACTTATGATACTGACTCTAGAAATTCATTCCAGTATGCAGAGAAAATCTGATACATGTGCCTTTTAATTTCATGAATGCTATTGCTAATTGGTAATCTGTGCCATGGTCTCAGTCCGTGGTCTAAGCCCATGCTTATGTGATTCATCTAGACCAGCGATTCTCAAACTGTGCTTCAGGGAGCCCTTGGGACTTTGCAAGAGGTGCTCAGGGGCTTTTCGGACACTCCACGTCCTCCGGGGTTTCTGCTGCTGCTGTTGTTGTTACTATTATTATTATTATTATTATCACAAAGACAGAATGACCATCTGTTGGGGGTGTTCGATTGACTCCAAGGGTCTTCCACTGTAATACTGTTAAGGTATGTTGGTTAAATTTGTTCTTCATTTTAAATATTGTATGAGGGGTATTTTTAAAGTAAGGTCCGTTTGAACATAAGTACACAACGAAAGTTTATTTCAAAAAAGTAAATTTATTTTCAGAAAGTACATACTTCACTCTATTTTTCGACATAGTTGCCAAACTAGTTGTTCAAACATTTATCATACCTCTGAACCAATTTTAAAATACCCCTACACCACTGGAGAAATTACACCGCTTAGCCGGTATTGCACCACCTGACATCCTCCGGGAAGTAGCAGCCAATAGTGAAAGGACCAAGGCAGAGACATCTCCAGCTCATCCCCTGTTTGGGTATCAGCCAGCACGTCAACGACTTAAATCAAGAAATAGTTTTCTAAGATCTACAGAGACACTTGCTGGAACACCTCAGCAAGCAAGAGTCCAAAAGTGGCAGGCTCAAACCCAGCACCTCAACCAATGGCTGATACCAAATGAGAGACTCCCCCCTGGGCACACAGAAGACTGGGCAACTTGGAAGGCACTGAACAGACTGTGCTCTGGCACCACGAGATGCAGAGCCAACCTTAAGAAATGGGGCTACAAAGTGGAATCCACGACATGCGAGTGTGGAGAAGAGCAAACTACAGACCACCTACTGCAATGCAACCTGAGCCCTGCCACATGCACAATGGAGGACCTTCTTGCGGCAACACCAGAGGCACTCCAAGTGGCCAGATACTGGTCAAAGGACATTTAATCAACTACCAAGTTTGCAAAATCTGTGTTTTTTTTATCTGTTTGTTTTGTTCTGTTAGAAATATAATACAATGGTATGGTTGCTGATGACAATAGTAGTAATAACTACTACTATTATTATTATTACCCCTGATCTAGACACAGAGAGTGACGTTTACCCAGGCTGTATGAAAGCAACTGTGGTATTAGCACTATCCATGCAGATAGTGCAACACAAAAAGATTGCAGCTCATTTACTTGCTTCCCTATTATTATCTCGTCTCTTACTGGAAGGGATTTTCCAAGGCTTTAGAGCCTCCCAGCCCTCTGGCCAAAGATCTTTTGCTGGAGAAGCCTGGGATTGAATTAGGGAATTTCTGTACACAAAGAATTCTCTAGCATTGAGTTGTAACCTCTGTCTTCATTGCTGGGGAAAACAGCTCTTTATCTTGCTGACTCTCTTGCCATTCTCTTTTCTTAGAGAGCTTTCTATGGCGATACGTTGACATATTTTAAAGGTAATGCAGCTTTATGCCATCTGTTGTGGTGGTAAAGCCAATAGATTTTATACACATGGTAATATTTTCTTTCTCTCCTGGCTGTAATGTTTAAAGTACGACTGTACCAATGATGATGTTTGAAGTTTAATTATAGCCCTGAATTAACAAGAGACTAAATGTCTGCCCTGGTGATCTATGCTGGTATAGAGGCAAGATGACAATCCTTGTTGGTTTAGCAGTGAAAGCAGATTTAAGCATTTCTCTCTTCATCAGACACATTAATAAGATACTGGCTTCCTGCTGACTGATGCCACTGGAGGCTGACAGTTCTGTGAGATGAGATGTGAGCCAATTCAAGGTAAAATGGGTATGCGGCACAATGCAGGTGATGATGGCATTCAGGATAAAAGAGACGCCACAGTTGCTGTGGGACTGCAGCTCCCATCATTCCACACTATTAATCTTGCTGTGTATGTGATGGGAGTAGCAAGTTTACAGCATGGAAGGTCATGTGAGCCGCGCCTCTGTTGATAAAAAGGAAACTAGTTTTAAGTAAACTCAGCTGGTACTAGGATTTTTTTCATGTCAGCAGCGACTTGAGAAATTGCAGGTTGCTTCTGGTGTGAGAGAATTGGCTGTCTGCAAGGACGTTGCCCAGGGGACACCCAGATGTTTTGATGTTTACCATCCTTGCAGGAGGCTTCTCTCATGTCCCCACAATGGGGAGCTGGAGCTGATAGAGTTCATCCACACTCTCCCGAGATTCGAACCTGCAACCTGTCGGTCTTCAGTCCTACCGCCACAGGGGTTTAACCCACCGCGCCACCGCAGTACTACTGGTACTAGGATGGTCAGCCCCTAGTTCACTGAGCACCAGGATGGTCCACTCCAAGAGACGTATGGATCCGGGTGGATTCCTGATGACTCTTGGGGATTTTCCTGCCGCCTCGGTAGGTGATTCTATCGATGTTCTGGTGGGCTTCTGGAACCATGAGGTGACCAGGCCGGTTGACACAATTGCTCTTGAATGTCTCCTTTCACAAAGCGGAGCCAAATCAGCTCCCTGGTTTTCCCGAGAGCTGGTGGAGATAAAGCAAATGAAACGAAGATTAGAACTGCGTTGGCAGAAGTCTTGCAGCAAATCTGACCAAGCATGGTTATGTTGTAAGCTGCCTTGAGTCCTCAGGGGGAGATGGGGCAGGATCCCGCCATCATCACAAGCACAGCTGGCGGGGACGAGAGACAGGGCCTTCTCAGTGGTGGGCCCTAGGCTATGTAACGCCCTTCGTGGACAACAAGTTAAACATGAGCCAACAATGTGATGTGGTGGCAAAAAAAAGCCAATGGGATTTTGGCCTGCATCAATAGGAGCATAGTGTCTAGATCCAGGGAAGTAATGCTACCCCTCTATTCCGCTTTGGTCAGACCATACCTGGAATATTGTGTCCAATTCTGGGCACCACAATTCAGGAGAGATATTGACAAGCTGGAATGTGTCCAGAGGAGGGTTGATCAAGGGTCTGGAGAACAATCCCTATGAGGAGCGGCTTAAGGAGCTGGGCATGTTTAGCCTGAAGAAGAGAAGGCTGAGAGGAGATATGATAGCCATGTATAAATATGTGAGAGGAAGCCACAGGGAGGAGGGAGCAAACTTGTTTTCTGCTTCCTTGGAGGCTAGGACGCGAAACAATGGCTTCAAACTACAGTGATCAGGTCCAGTGATACCTTGAGTTAAGAGCTTAATTTTTTTTGGAATAATTTTTATTAAACATTTTAAACATCAACACAAAGAAAGAGGGAGAACAATACGAAAGAAGATAGAAAAGTAGGAAACCCGATCACCATCAAAAAAGAAAAAGAAACTGAGAGCCGTTCAGCAGCGGAACTCTCTGCCCTGGAGTGTGGTGGAGGCTCCTTCTTTGGAAGCTTTTAAACAGAGGCTGGATGGTCATCTGTCAGGGGTGATTTGAATGCAATATTCCTGCTTCTTGGCAGGGGGTTGGACTGGATGGCCCATGAGGTCTCTTCCAACTCTTTGAGTCTATGATTCCTATGGAGATTAGATCGGCTCCTTCGCTGTTAGCATTTCGGAAAAAACTCAAGACATGGCTATTCGAGCAGGCATTTCTGAATACTGAGTAACTGACATAAGGACGGAATCAACTACAAGATGGATTGGACATTGTTTTAATGAGTATTTATTGAATTATGTTTTATTACAGCTGTTATGATTTTATTGATGTAAAAGTTTTTATATTGTAACTGTGTTTTTGGTGGTATTGAATTTTGCCTTGTAAACCGCCTCGATTCGCCGGAAGGCTGAGAGGGGCGGCATACAAATACTGTAAATAAAATAAAATAAATATAAATAAAGGTTGTTGTTGTGGTGGTGGTTGTAGTATAAGAACAGCATCTAACCTTCTATGGACACATTCAATTCGTGCAGCTTGTTTCCAAAAGATACAAAATCCATCTTAACAAATTTGACTTCAATTTAAAAAGACATCCTGAGAATATGCATTGTTTTGTTATAAAATGCAATTTCCCAAGCCCTGTTCTAAAATGATCTGATGTATTTGGATAGTTTTTATCTGTGCATGGCATTCTGTTCCTAGCCAACAATGCCACCTATAACTCATTAGATACCTTTTGGACTTGAATGTTTTTCTTCCGCAAAGAACAGTGAATACAGTATCTGTACTGCACATTCTACCACATAAACAGTTCTGATCAGGGCATAGTGAGTATGCAAATTGTAAATCACTGGCAAAGGACTGGCTTAGTTATAAGCTTTCCATCTTGTATACCTGGTCATGCTTTTTATGCTAAATGCAGCTGCTTGCTCTTTCTACACCCATCTGTCTAAAATTTAGTGGTTTAATTGGGTTTTCGTTCATTTTTTCTTTTAAGAAGATGGAAAGTCTATATTGTATCCAGGTACTTAGAAGTAGAAACACATCCTTCATGTATTTAAAACCCATCTGTCTTCATTTTACTAGGAATATATTTGGTCGCAGACCTGTTGATTATGCTGAAACAGAAGAAATGAAGTCGGTTCTAATGTTGTCAGCAAAGAATGAATCTTCAGTTATTCAATCTGGAGAGGTAAGTACTCCCCTCCGCCCACCTTTTTGTGATCTATTAGTTAATGTTTGGAGGAATGTTTGATACCTTGATCATTTTGAATCATACACAAATGTGGAATGCAAGCAATATTTATTTCTCACAACCTTTTAGGACACGGCAGAAGTACAAAAAGTACTCATGGCTCAGTGATCCCCCCAGAAACAGAGTTGCAATGTTTTCTTCCCAGAAATAGAGCTGCTACTTTTCTCCCTGGCGGAGGAGGCGGGTGGGATGCTCCACTCTGAAAAGGGCAATGTTAAAGAGCAGAACAGACAGGTAGAAGAGCAGTTAAGGAGGGGAGCAGTTTGATAATGAATAGCAGGAATGATGCTCATCTGCTTATAAAGCACTTCGGAAATCACTTAAATTTTATCTTAAGATGATTGTCATGAACCTTCTATGGTAAAATATTCTCTGAGATCCTCAAGATGTGGAAAAACAAACACAGTGTGCAGGATAAAGCACTGTTAAGAGCCTGTACAAATTACATTCTTGCTGCATGGAGAAAAGAATTAGTGCTTTCAACTTGATTTTAAGCAACAACATAAACCCTGCATAATTTCCCGATTTCTCTGTAGTGCTCATGTTTACTATGTTACTATATATTGATCAGCAACCCAATTGCTTTCATGTCGTCAGTTTTGTCTTTGTCATGCACTTTATTCTCAGAGGACATGTAGTGCAAGTAGAGGTCTCCAAAATGGACAAAATCAGAAAAGTTTTAGAGTTCAGATTTTTGCAGATTTTGAAATATTAGCCATTTATGTACATAAGGAGATAGTTTGAAAATGGAGTCCTAAATCTAAACACAAAATTTAAGTATATTTCGTATACACTTTAAACATCTAGCCTTAAGATAATTTTATACACAATATTTTTCAATAATTTTGTGGAGGAAACTATATTGGTGTGCTGGCTAATACCCAAACAAGGGATGAGCTGGAGATGTCTCTGCCTTGGTGCTTTCACTATTGGCTGCTCCTTCCCGGCGGATGTCAGGTGGTGCAATACCGGCTAAGCAGTGTAATTTCTCCAGTGGTGTAGGGCGCAGACACCCCGTGATAATGTGGCATGTCTCATTAAGAGCCACATCCACTGTTTTAGTGTGGTGAGATGTGTTCCACACTGGGCATGCATACTCAGCAGCAGATTAGCACAGCGCAAGGGCAGATCTCTTCACTGTATCTGGTTGTGATCCCCAGGTTGTGCCAGTCAGCTTTCGTATGATATTGTTTCTAGCACCCACTTTTTGCTTGATGTTCAGGCAGTGCTTCTTGTAGGTAAGAGCATGGTCCAGAGTGACTCCCAGGTATTTGGGTGTGCTGCAATGCTCCAGTGGGATTCCTTCCCAGGTGATCCTCAGAGCTCGGGATGCTTGTCTGTTCTTGAGGTGAAAAGCACATGTCTGTGTTTTAGATGGGTTGGGGATCAGCTGGTTTTCCCTGTAATAGGCAGTTAGAGCACCTAGAGCTTCGGAGAGCTTCTGTTCAACCATCTCAAAGCTCCCTGCTCCGTGCTGATGGCACGATCATCAGCATAGATGAAACTCTCTGTTCCTTCTGGCAGTGGCTGGTCATTTGTGTAAATGTTGAACATGGATGGAGCAAGCACGCTCCCCTGAGGCAGGCCGTTCTTCTGTTTCCGCCATCTGCTTCTCTGGCCCTGGAACTCAACAAAAAAGCTCCTGTTTTGTAGCAGGTTTCCTATGAGGCGGGTGAGGTGGTAGTCCTTTGTGATATTATACATTTTTCTCAGGAGGAGGCAGTGGTTCACAGTATCATAGGCTGCTGACAGGTCTATGAAGACAGCTCCTGTGATCTGCTGCCTTTCAAAGACATCTTCTATGTGCTGAGTCAGGTTCAACACTTGCGATGTGCAGCTTTTGCCTTTCCTGAAGCCAGCTTGCTGTGGAATTAGACATGGGTCTATTTTTTCCATAATTCTATGCAAAATAAGTCTCTCCAGAACTTTGTAGAGGTGGCAAAACAGGGAGATTGGTCTATAGCTTTTTGGGTCATTTCGGTCTTTGCCTGACTTCAAGATGGCGATGACTCTTGCTTTCCTCCAGATTTTGGGGATCTGACAGGATGCAGTGCAGTTGTTCATCAGCTCCAGCAGCCAGCGCCTTGCTTTTGGGCCAAAGTTCTTGATTTGTTCCATCCGTAGATCATCCAGGCCAGCTGCTTTGCCAGGATGATGATGATGTTGTTGATGATGTTGATGATAATAATGATTTATTAAATTGTCTCATGGCTCCATGGAGCAGTCAGACTTGTCTTGGAGACCCCTGACTGGCCATCTCTCAGTTATACCTCTGCCATCTATAAACTTTGCTTTCTTGCGTCTCATCATTTTCAGCTGGATTTGCTGGAAAATTTCCACAGAGTGCCTTATACAAATGGATACTAGGTTCAGCTTGCCAATTACACAAAACTTCTTAAGCTGCTGGAAACGGATCATAAAGCTGTTGTTATCCCTTTAGTGCTGTTTTGTCAGATAGAAGCATGGAGGTTGATTAAATCTCTTTGCGTTCTGCAATGCTGCTAAGAATTGTGTCCATGTTGAAATCCTTCTTTCTTATTTAATAGAAGTGTTGAGTGAAAAAAAAACTATATGGAGGATTTAACAGTCTCTTTTCACCCATGTCAGCAAACAAACCGAAATCATCCCAGAGAGGGGCCTGTTGTTCTCCTTGGAAGTGGCCTTGATCCATCTAAGCAACAATTGCTGAGCAAATTAGCACTGGTTCTGAAGGGTAGTGTCTGCATGGAGTTTAACAGCACAGGTAGGCATTCCCACTTCATCTCAGTGTTCTTTAAGTGAGGATTTAAAGCCATGCTCTTTAAATGCTAATCAAATGTTGTCCCAAAGGTGGAAATCATGCTTCCTCATCAGGCATGGTCAAACTTCAGCTCTCCAAGTGTTTGGGACCTCAGCTCCCACAATTCCTAACAGCCGCTAAGCTGTCTGAGATTTCTGGGAATTGAAGTACCTGGAGGGTTGAAGTTTGCCCATGCCTGCTCCAAATGTTACTTGATTGTAGCTTCCAAATTCTGCCTGTTGAGAGTTGCAATTCAATATGACATAGAGTGTCACATTATTTCCACCTCAGCCTTCTATGTTGTTGTCACTCATTTCTTTGAGAAGCTTCCTTGAGTTTTATTGTGAGCTGTGTGATCAACTAAAAGTACGCTCCATGTCCCAATGAAGTTGTCCAAAGAAGCTCATCATGTACTTTGCTTGTCATTGAAGTACTTTTCCAAGCCCTGTGCTTTTCTGGAGAAAAAATGTACCAAGAGTACATTAACTCCCTTCTCTTTTACTATTCCTGTCAATGGGATCAAACACAGTATTTCCCCTGAATTTCCTGAACTCAGCTCTCCTAAAGTCTAGAATGTGTGTCTAATTTTTCTTAGTTTCCCTTTTCCTCTGAATCACAAACTCCAGAAGCACATGATCACTCCCACCTAAGGATCTCACCACTTCCACTCCATTGACCAGCTCCTCAGTGTTGGCTAGGATCAGATCCAGAATAGTTGATCCCCTTGTTGCCTCTTCCATCTTCTGGACAATAAAATTGTCTGTAAATCAAGTGAGAAATTTGTTGAAGTTTGTACTTTTTGCAAAGTTGTTTTCCAACAAATATCAGAATAGTTGAAATCTCCCATTTTAACTATGTGCTCCCAAATAAGATATACTTACTTAGGAGCAAAGTAGGACTTAGTTCAAAATAAACATTCATGGGACTAGACAGTAAATCCAAAAAACAGAACCCTACCTCCTTCAAGATGAACTGAACCACCTCAACTGGGCTCTCCAGTTGAGACAACTGGGCTCTCCAGTTGAGACAATACTCCACCTCAGACATCAGAAGAGCTGCAAGACCGAGAACAAGCCACGAGAGTCAAGATGAAGATCCACCCAGAGGAAAAGTGTTCTTGTCATACATCAAGGGAACCACTGACCGCATAGGGAAGCTGATGAGGAAACACAACATACAAACTATCTACAGACCCACCAAGAAAATCCAACAACTGCTACGTTCGGCAAAGGACAAGAGGGATCCTCTCACTTCTGCAGGAGTCTACCGTGTACCATGCAGCTGTGGACAAGTCTACATAGGGACCACCAAACGCAGCATTGCCCAATCACGAATCAAGGAACATGAAAGGTACTGCAGACTACTTCAACCAGAGAAGTCAGATATAGCAGAGCACCTGATGAACCAACCTGGACATGGCATATTATTTGAGAACACAGAAATGCTGGACCACTCCAACAACCACCATGTCAGACTACACAGAGAAGCCATTGAAATCCACAAGCATGTGGACAATTTCAACAGAAAGGAGGAAACCATGAAAATGAACAAAATCTGGCTACCAGTATTAAAAAAAACTCTAAAATTAGAACAGCACAACAACAGAGAGGAAACAAACAAGGACATCTAATCACCTCTCAAGAAAAGATTGCCCCAGGCACTGCCAGGCCATCAAATGCTAATCAAGGTGGTCAGTTGAAGCATTCACACCTAGCTCCAGCAGACAAGGTGTGCTGGAGATATATATTATTTTCCATAGATATATAAACCCTTTTTCCTAGTTCCAACAGACCTCACTACCTCTGAGGATGTTGTCATAGATGCAGGCGAAACGTCAGGAGAGAATGCCTATAGAACATGGCCATATAGCCCGAAAAAACCTGCAGCAACCCAGTGATTCTGGGCATGAAAGCCTTTGACAATACATTGATTTGCATATGCCTGGTTTCCCCCTTCTGATTTGACATCTTCCAGGCTGCACTGCAGTTTGCTTTCAAAAGTCCCCTGAGTTCTAAAGTTCCATCCGACTCCAGCGTATGAGGTTATTCCACGTCCCAGGGCAGACATGCGAAGAAAGTGAGTGTGCCCTTAGTTTGCCAGGGAAGGCATTTGAAGCAGGGGAGTGCATCTCCCTCCCAAAAATACTTCCGTAGGGGATCCAAGGAATGAATGTCTGGATTGCAGTTAGAGTTGTGTAGTTTTAAAACACAACTTACGGTAATATGCCTCAGACATGATTGCGTGCAGTAATTGCACTTAAGAGGCACTTAGTTTCCTAGTAAGTATGCTTAGTCTGTACGCATTTTTTTCCAAGTGTGAATAATGATGCTTTTAATAGAATTGAAACAAAATAAGACGAGCCTGTGGGAAGGGTGCCTTCAAACACAAAATGCATCATTAACCTCCTCCTTTTAAACTGTTATTATTTGTATACTGCCATAGAAGCTAGAAATTGATGTGTGGTAACATAATCCTGGGTCTCTAACAGAAAATGGGGAGAACCTGAAAATAATGGCATGGTTCCAAATGGCTGTCTTATTTATTTAAGTATGATTGACATCAACGTCCAGAATCTCCCTTCCGGCAAGGCCTGAAATCATGTTGGTTGGAAAATTGCAGAAGCTGAAGGCCAAATGGGGAGCTTGTCAACCACTTTAGGCAGCCGTCTTCCCACATGTGGCAGCTTTAGCATTTTCCTCATCCAGCTGTAGCCCTGAAATACATTGTCCTCAAGCTTCTCCTTACAACCAAGGGGTTCCTCAAAATATGGTGACTTCTAAAGTGGTATAACCAGCTGACAACACTAGAAGTTATTGTTTCTCTCTCTTCTGGAAGGTTTATCTGATTCAAGAATATTTGCAGGACAGAATTCTTTATTCTTGAGGAACAAGGGAGCCATTGCCCTTTCTCTAAACAAGGAAGACGTCTCTTTGCATCTCATAGTTTTTTACATTATATCTAACATGAATTACTCAATCTCAGGCACATTTTCTTCTCTTCCAGTGACACATGTGGTTATCCCTGAGCATCTTGTGCGGAGTACTATGAAGTGTATGCTGGCAATTCTGAATGGATGCTGGATCTTGACATTTAAGTGTAAGTAAGCAGGTAGTTTTTGATCCCAATCCACCCACTAAATCCACATGTTTTAGTGAAGAGAGGGGCCAAGAAGGCAGTTCCATCTTGTCTCCTGCACTGTGCTTATAATATAATATAATATTGTCAGGTTTTACAATGTATTGTAATGTAATATAGCTGAGTCATGCACTGCTAATAGGCTTCTATTGGAAATGCTGAGTCATGCATTAACTGTATATAGGGAATCATTTGGGGAATGTGTTCTGGCCTGGTCCAAATTATTGTGAATGATGCAATCCTGGGTTTGAGTTAAGTCAATGAGTTGAGAACCAATCAGAGATTGCTATGTGTAATTGTATATAATTGTATATAAGAAAGTCATGTACAGTGTATTCTCTCTCCTTGTGCTATGATGCTGTTCGTCGAAGGCTCTATGTAATTGATTAAAAGAACCTGTCTGCTAAGACAAGATATAACTGTGTGCTGTGGTAAGTTTGTAGTGTCATCTAGATTGGAGGGGAAAACAATAGTAAAACTGACAATGGCCGGGCATGTGCTCAAGTGTCTGTAAAAGAGTTCCAGAGTGACTGCATTTTGTGGGAGCAGTTGACTGAAAATACAAATATAATATAACATAATATATTGCATATACATATAGTATTGATAATATTATAATGTAATACAATATACTACTAATACTAATAAAATGATATTATAATTGAGATTAACTTCACAGTTCAGCAGCAGATCAGTTGCACAACTTCAGCGCTTTCCAGTAGCTTCTTCCTGCACAGTTCTTTTCAGTCAACTGCTCCCACAAACTGCAGTCACTCTGGAACCTTTTACAGACACTTGAGCACATGCCCGGCCATTGTCAGTTTTACCATTGTCTTTCCCCCAGTCTAGATGATATTACAGACTTACCACAGCACACAGTTCTATCTTGTCTTAGCAGACAGGTTTCTTTAATTACATATAGCCTTCGACAAACAACATCACAGCACAAGGAGAAATATACACTGTACATGATTTCCTTATATACAATTCTATACAATTACACATAGCAATCTCTGATTGGTTCCCAATTCATTGACTTAACTCAAACCCAGGATTGCATCATTCACAATCACCTGGACTAGGCCAGAACACACTGCCCAAATGAAGTTCTATACACAGTAATGCATGACTCAGCATTTCCAATAGAAGCCCATTAGCAGTGCATGACTCAGCTATATTACATTGCAATACATTGTAAAACCTGACATTAAATGTAATATTACAGTATAATATTATAGTACAATGTAATATATAATATTAATATTGTGCTATGATAATAATATATTGTATTTACTTTTAACTTGTAAGCCGCTCTGAGTCCCCTTCGGGGCGAGAAGGGCGGTATATAAATGTTGTAAATAAATAAATAAATAATGTTTTCCCGTGAAGGTTTTGGGACTGAATAGTATGCTAAGATTCCTTTTTGTTCAGCCTCCTGTCGTGAACAGTAAATGCTTGAGGTTCCTTGTAAGGTGACTGGCAAGAATTCCAAACTACATGTTACTCCATCTGTTGAAAATATGTAGTGCCTCATATTACTGTCAACGAGATGCCATAGAGTTAATCAGAGTCTTTGCTTGTTAGGGGATGCAGCTGTTAACTGCTTGCCTTATTAGAAAAATATTGGATCACTTAAATATCTGAAAATAATAAATGTTGGTTGTTGGCAGCCGTAGTAGTAAGTGATCACGGCCTGTTCATCTAGGTGAAAGGAAAGAACATTCACCTCCTTCTCATTTTTTGCAGTAAAGCTCAGCAATACCATGAAATGAATTTAGTCTGCACCTTGAAAGCATGAATTAACTCTGAGATGGTTTAAAAATTGTCATTTACCTAAAGCTGGATCTACAGACAGACTCGCTCTCAACTCAGCCTAGCATGAGACCTTAGACAGCTGGAGGCAGACATCATACCTAACTATGGTTACACTACCTGATAAGTCAGATGTTCACTCCAGAGGTAATAAACACTGAAGCTACTGGAGATCCTTCTATTTATAACTTAGCAACCAGAAACAATCTCTCTTTGTTCATGCTTATACATAGAAACAATACAATCATGTACACAGTGGCAGCAGCTGCATCTATCATGGTCTTGTGCCAGTCCAGGAATGAATCTAACTCTTCAGTCTCTTCAGACCCCTTATCAAAAAGATCTTGAAGTCTGTAGCTTTACAGTTTCAGGTAATAGAACACACGCAGCTTTGAAACAGGGGTATTTGAACCCAACCTATTGTCAGACAGACCACATCTCCATCTTGCTAGAATCCTAGAATCATAGAATCAAAGAGTTGGAAGAGACCTCATGGGCCATCCAGTCCAATCCCCTGCCAAGAAGCAGGAACATTGCATTCAAATCACCCCTGACAGATGGCCATCCAGCCTCTGTTTAAAAGCTTCCAAAAAAGGAGCCTCCACCACACTCCGGGGCAGAGAGTTCCACTGCTGAACGGCTCTCACAGTCAGGAAGTTCTTCCTCAAGTTCAGTTGGAATCTCCTCACTTATAGTTTGAAGCCATTGTTTCACGTCCTAGTCTCCAGGGAAGCAGAAAACAAGCTTGCTCCCTCCTCCCTGTGGCTTCCTCTCACATATTTATACATGGTGATCATATCTATGCTATGTCCTATTTACTTATTAGACAGGTTTCTCCAAAACCCGAACTCAAAATCCTTTGTGGCAGCGGACAGAAACTGTAAAACTAGGGGGTACATTACTGCCCCCCTCCCTGGGAGATCTTGGAAAGCCAAGCCACTCTTCTGTAGCCCTGGGAAACCAATTTCAAACATCAAGCCCTAAATACCCTAGGGCAGTGGTTCTCAAACCTGTGGGTCCCCAGATGTTTTGGCCTTCAACTCCCAGAAATCCTAACAGCTGGTAAACTGGTAGGGATTTCTGGGAGTTGTAGGCCAAAACACCTGGGGACCCACAGGTTGAGAACCACTGCCCTAGAGGCATTTTTGAGCTCCCTTCTCAAACATTTTGGGTACAGGAGAGTCCTCTAAGGTCTCTCCCTCTCTCTTTAAAGGCCGTTCTTGGGTGAAAAAACTGTTGGGAGATAAAAATATGGTGACTATCTTCTTGGAACTGGATTATATGAGTCTACACTGTGAGATAATCTGGGATGAGCAGATAACCTGGGAGCAGATCCTGGGATATAGGGCAGTGAAGCCTCACCCTCATGTTTAAGGATAAAATGCTGCAAAATTTATAGGTGGCTGCTGCTTTGTTTACAGTGATTTTGGGAGTTTGGAAGCTTTAGATATTTACATAGAATCAAAGAGTTGGAAGAGACCTCGTGGGCCATCCAGTCCAACCCCCTGCCAAGAAGCAGGAATATTGCATTCAAATCACCCCTGACAGATGGCCATCCAGCCTCTGTTTAAAAGCTTCCAAAGAAGGAGCCTCCACCACGCTCCGGGGCAGAGAGTTCCACTGCTGAACGGCTCTCACAGTCAGGAAGTTCTTCCTCATGTTCAGATGGAATCTCCTCTCTTGTAGTTTGAAGCCATTGTTCCGCGTCCTAGTCTCCAAGGAAGCAGAAAACAAGCTTGCTCCCTCCTCCCTGTGGCTTCCTCTCACATATTTATACATGGCTATCATATCTCCTCTAAGCCTTCTCTTCTTCAGGCTAAACATGCCCAGCTCCTTAAGCCGCTCCTCATAGGGCTTGTTCTCCAGACCCTTGATCATTTTAGTTGCCCTCCTCTGGACACATTCCAGCTTGTCAATTTCTCTCTTGAATTGTGGTGCCCAGAATTGGACACAATATTCCAGGTGTGGTCTAACCAAAGCGGAATAGAGGGGTAGCATGACTTCCCTAGATCTAGACACTATGCTCCTATTGATGCAGGCCAAAATCCCATTGGCTTTTTTGCCGCCACATCACATTGTTGGCTCATGTTTAACTTGTTGTCCATGAGGACTCCAAGATCTTTTTCACACATACTGCTCTCAAGCCAGGCATTGTCCCCCATTCTGTATCTTTGCATTTCGTGTACCCTCACCCTCATGTTTAAGGATAAACTGCTGCAAAATTTATAGATGGCTGCTGCTTTGTTTACAGTGACTTTGTGGGTTTGGAAGCTTTAGATGTTTACATCTCTCTGAACAGTCAGCCTGTCATTCCCAGCTTTTATTCTCAATAGTTTTGTGCAAAGATACTGTGCACAAATTGCAAAGACTCGAACCAAAAAATAAAAGAAAAGAAATAATAGAATAGAAAAGAAACATAATTGCATGCCTTGCACTGGAGGCAAGAACTCTCTCAAGGCTTGAATTTTCTTCCTTGAAATGTCCTGTTGCGTTGAGACATTCTAAATTGATTAAATGAGTAATTTATTGAGTATTCTTCACATCTCTGCTTCTCAAATGGATTGATCACGCATCTTCTAAAATAAGCAGATCTTCTATATTTGATCAGCCTAGTTTAGAAAATTGGCCCATTTGTTTCTTGTGTTTTACTTTCATTCTTTCTGTGGCACACTGAAGGATGTTTTGCATGCTATTTTGACAGTTTCTGGTTTGAGTCATTCACTTGTTCAGAACTATTTGACATGCATCATAACAGAGTGAATTGTTTTTCCTCAAAATATTATTTATTTATTCTTACAAGGCAGCAATAATACAATGACACTATGACGACAAGTTTCCCATTCTTCCCAACCAACCCACCTCCCTCCTAGTGCCTCTACTAGTTCACACTGCAAACATAGAGTTCATAAGAGATTTGATAGAGTTAATATTTTTGCAGATGGGGTGCATGCTAAGAATTGAGGTCACTTGTGTAACTTTCAAAAATCTCTTTTGATCACATTGCTGGGGCTAAAATAACTCGAAATTTCCTCTTGTACATTTATGTCTCACTCAACACATGGATAGCAGTTTTCTATGCATGGAGGTTTGATATATCATTTGAAACTTGGAAGTTAAAGGACACAGAGCTGTGTCGTTGGGAGAGCAAG